CATCACCTCAACTTAAAGCAAAGATGCAATGTAAAAGACCACAGGCGGAGAGAAAACATGTTGTATTAACTTTCCAAAGTAAACACACAACTGAAAAACAGTTTATCCACTTTTAATCCACTTTGATTCTAAGAAACAAATTTAGTCACTCAAAACGATGCAAAGTGGGTGTGTTTATGCGCTGTCGAACATTGTGATTGACTGACGAATCTGACCAATAAGAGTGGAGAACTGAAACGCGTCTTGTGACGGATTGGTCGTTTTACCTAAAGGGCGTGACATACTTTTTAACCAATAGCAACGTGTAAAAGAGGAAGAAGGGCGTGTCCGTTTTACAGATCGCAGTCAGGCTGCTCCAAAAATGATAGTTGATTTCATTTTGTAATATTAAGGAATTTAGTTATAAACTATTCTTAAAAAGAGTACCTTATCATAATGTTTTGGTAGTGCTGGTAATGTCCTTTTCATGAAATCATAAAAAGGTAAAAACACAAAAAGGTAAAAAAAAAAAAATATATATATATATATGTATATATATATATATATATATATATATATTATATATATCAAAAGAAAAAATATTAAATATAAAATTACTTCTTGCATGCTAGTTACACCTCATTGACTTTGATTTTGTGGACGTTTTTTTTTTATATTAATAAAAATGTAAAACAAATTGCTTCACTGCTACTTACAAATATTTTTAAAAAGCAAATGAAAAATATTATGCCAAATTACAACCCCTTTCAAATTTTTTTCAAGAATTTCACTCTTTTTTTATTAGTAACACCACCTAAACACCTTTTCATACTTTAAGCACTACAGAAACAAATACTGTTAGTATAAAGAAGTGTATTCAATGTATGTATTGTCTATATAAGTAACTTTCTATTTACAGACCAAAAAAATAAATAAATTAATTAAAATAATTAGCATCACGTCTTGCATGTGAACTACATGCAAATAATTTTGGACTAAACACATCTAATCAACAATTCCCACAGCAGTTTCTCACACTGATTTTCCACACCACCTGCTTGACAGTAATTTGGAGCATTGTCTCATTGTTTGTTATTTAATCTTGTTCTGTTGTGCTGTAGATCTGGGTTTCTTTGACTCTTTAACTGTGCCATTGCCCTCAACTTCCTGGCCTTTGTTTTTTTAGACAATCAGGTAAGATGAAAGATAAGCAGTCACCACCAGTGTTTTTAAATCTCAGTCTATGAAATATATAGTGTCTTTTAGGGCTGGACGATATGGCCAAAATTGATATCACGATATATTTCTTAATTTCGGTCGATACGATATAATTCCGATATCGATATGAACACTATTTATCTGAAATAGAAATCTTTTGTAACATTATAAATGCCTTTATCATCACTTTTGATCAATTTATCGCGATACATATTGATATTGAATTATTGTCCAGCCCTAATGTCTTTCTATTCATATTCTATTAACAATTTGGCAGAAACTGGTGGAATGGGCATAATTTACAAAATACCAGCCATCAGTGTGAAAGCCTCAGTGGTGCTAGTGACTAAACACATGTTCTTGGGGGAAAGGCTTTGATAGAGAAAAGGGTGCAAATCCAACCTAGACATTTACAAAATGTAAATTATGAGTGTTTGTGAAACTGAAACATTATGGATACAATATTGTGTAATTTCTTAGTTTAATTATGTCTTTCCCTTACAGAATAGAGATGTGTGTGTTTAGTCCAAAATTATTTGCATGTAGTTCACATGCAAGACATAATGCTAATATTTTTTTTTTCTGTAAATAGAAAGCTGCTCATAGACATCTGCACATGGACAGGTAAGGCTTATTATGTTTTGTTGTGTACTAAACATGTAGGTTACCATCATTTTCTTTTTGGAGGGTGACTCCTCTGGAAAGCAAATGATGGTAACCTAAACGGGTGGGGAAGGGACGGAGGGTGAAAAATTTTAGACAGCTTTTAAAAAAAATATATGTTTTTCAGTCTGTCAAGAAGTATAACCCCTGCTAGACATCGTGCCGGTGTTCGGGGGGGGGGACTCGAATCATCCCCACTCCTTCATTCACCCAACACTCACTCATATCGCAGAGATCTGGCTGGGATTGAACCAGCAACCTCTGAACCGTGAGGCAGTGCTCTAACCTGTGAGCCACAGATCTCTTGTCTAAACATGTGAAGGAACTTATATTTCACTATTCACCTGCATGTGATTTTACAATAAATCAGTCAGTTGTCTGAACACACTGAGGTGGGATTTGAACCCATGCCTCAATCACAGCCTTACCATCTGAAAACATGAGCTTAACCACTAACCCACTGTGGCTTTTACATTTTGTGCTTGGCTTTTGTGGCACTTTGTTGGATGTAACGACGACGATTTAAAGTGAGCAATAGTGAGATTTGAACTCTGGTCTCCTAGATGAAAGAGCAATGCATTATTCACTGAACCTGTTGAGTTGAAGTGAGATTTGTATGATGTTATGAAGAACTGTAATTTGCAGGGTTTGAACCAAGACGCTCACATTTGAAGGCAAGTGATTATCCTCAGCACCACAGAGTTTGTGACAACAGGTTTTACTGAGAACTTTGTTTTATATGATGGAAAGCAACTAACACATTAATTGACTACCCACTGAGGAAGTAACTCCACACATGCAGTGCTTTTCTCTTGCACAAACCATTGAAGTACTTACTCTTTGCACTCAAGTCGTTATTTACTTTAATAGCCAAGTATTTCAGTTTTGATGTGTCATTATTTCTTCTGATATGTTGTAGCAGTGCTCCGCTGCCAGTTTTATGTTATGTTATGATTTATGTTATGATGAATTTCATGTGTTGTTTTTAATGTGTCTCCACGCGGACACTGAAGCACAAACACGCATAGATTTGTTGATGTGTGTTTATTTTAACCTAAAATCTTGTTTAAATAGGCCACTTGCTATTTGACAACTAAGTATGTATTAATGTAGTTGTTCACATGCCTATGTATTTATGTACTATATATATATACTAACTTTTAAATGTTGATGGTTTAGATGTACTATATAAAGTAATGTCTGTTTATTTCTATCTTTCCTCTACAGAGTAAGGGATGTGTTTGAACAGAAGCAGAGCTCTGGGACGTGTGGACAGACTTTCACTGTAATGATGGACATCCGCTCATGGACAGGTAAGGCTTATAACTTGTGTTTGTGTTTTGTTGTGTACTAAACATGTAGGTTACCATCATTTTCTTTTTGGAGGGTGACTCCTCTGGAAAGCAAATGATGGTAACCTAAACAGGTGGGGAAGGGATGGCGGTTCAACATTTTTATACAGCTTTAAAAAAAAATTCTGTCAAGAAGTATAACCCCTGCTGGACATCGTGCCGGGGCTCGGGGGGGACCCGAATCATCCCCACTCCTTCATTCACACAACACTCACTCATATCACAGAGATCTGGCTGGGATTGAACCAGCAACCTCTGAACCGTGAGGCAGCACTCTAACCTGTGAGCCACAGATCTCTTGTCTAAACATGTGAAGGAACTTATATTTCACCATTCGCCTGTGACATAAACCAGTTAATGTTTTAACATGCTGAGGTGGTATTTGAACCCACACCTTTATCGTAAGCTTGTCCACAACCAATGTGTTTAACCACTGGAGCCATCATGGCTTTCGCAGTGAGTGCTGTTGTTTGGGAAACTTTGTTGGATTTAATGACAGCAATTTAATATAAGCAATAGTGGTATTTGAACTTCGGTCTCCAAGATGAACATCCCAAGCTCTATCCACTGAGCTACTGGAGTTGTTGTTGTGTCTTTTGGACAGGGTTTTATTGAGAACTTTGTTTTAAATAATGATTAACACACAAGTGTGGGATTTGAACCCAGACTTCTGTGTATGGGAAGTAAACGCTCAACCACTAAGCCACAGAGCTTGGGGTGTTTGTTGTAGGGGTCATTTAGATGTTATGTTTAGCTACAACATTAATTAAAGCTGCAATTTAACACAGTAGTGAGATTCGAACTCAGGCCTCCAAGATTAAAAAACGAAATGCTTTACCTCCTGAGCCACTGAGTTTATAAGTTGGATTTCAACTGTGTTTGGACCGTGATATTCTTGAGAACTTTGTGTCATATGACGAAAACTATAACCCACAGAATTTGAGCTGAGACTTTCACATTTTAAGGCAAACGATTAACCTCTGTGCCACAGAATTTGTGATGAGGTTTGGTTTGTTTCTAGGTCTTGTAAAGTTACATTGTTAAAACAGAAAAGAGATTATTGCATTTGTTAGATTTGAACATGCCTCTGTTGTAGTTTTGTTGTTCAAAGACCTGCATTTAAACACCACACCATTTTTATTTTTGTTGTAGTGGGAGCACATGTATAAGTGGGAGCACATCAAAAAATTTCAGCACATGTAAAAACACAAGACTCAATCCACTGAGCTTGAATAACTCATTTTTGTCACATAGATATATTAAGAAAAATGGAATTTGAACACATCAACTGTGTAAATGTATTTATTTTTATGGGGCATTTTGCTTTCGTCTCCGTGAGCCAACAGCTCTTTTATGTGTAATAGAGTTACCACAGCTAACCATTAAAAAAATTCTTTACGATTAAATTTATTTTGGCTAAAAACAATTCATTATCCAAAGGATTCATCAATGCTTATCTCTGCTCAATCAACTCATTCTGAGCTTAAGCCTCATAGCAGGACTAGAAAGATGTCAAGTTCTCTGTGTTTGATATGAGATTTTGCAGGGGAATATGCTGATATCAAATCTGTTTGATGAGTATGAGTGAAATATTGTACCAAATAAACTGTTGTGGGTGGGGGGGGGGAAATCCAATCGATTTATTAACTAATATCTGTCAAATGTCAGTCTTGTGTTTTTAACACAGTAGTGAGATTCGAACTCAGGCCTCCAAGATTAAAGGAAATCCAATCGATTTATTAACTAATATCTGTCAAATGTCAGTCTTGTGTTTAAATGCATGAAACTGATAACACAAACACATCTTGTAAACAACATCATTTGTTTATTGAAATCAAGTTTTATATGAATTAGAAACATAGAACCCAATAAACCTGCCTGTAAATTTCTAGTAATCCTAAAGATCTTGATTAGCTGTTTCAGGTGTTTTTAATCAGGTTGGAGCTAAACTCAGGAAAGTTGGCTCACCAGGAGCAGGATTAGACATAACTGCCTTTTCCTCCCGCTGCTGTTTTAATGTATTAATGCACACACTTATTGTCCACAAGAGGGATCTGATCTCATGCATGTGCCTGTTAATCAGTAAAAAAGCTTCCATTAGACACAATATTAATGTTACGTTGTTTTATCAGTCAGCAGTTCATAGATTACAGATGTTAACAGTCATTTTTATTTTAATGATCATTTATCAAAATAACCAATACATGATCTGTGATCAATCAGTCCATGGTTTAACATGGATTAAAATGTGATATCTGTCTCTGTAGGTCTGTAGAAGCCAAAGTCTCACTCCTCCAGCTATAACCTCTTGATCATCCAGAACTTCAGATAGAGACTCGGAGCTTCACATCCTCTTCATCATCCTTACTAAGAGCTTCCTGTGGGGGAAACGTGAAATGAGAGAAACATATTTCAGATGCTGCTGTATTTTAAGCAAAAGGGTTTTTATGGAGTCTGGAATCACATGATACAGACCATATAAATTAAATAAATATTTATCTATTGGTTATAAGAATCTGCGTTTAACTTATCTTTGGAAATAAAAGCATGTGTCTGTTTATTTTCTGCAAAATAAATGGCTATTGTAAATGAAAAATATCATGTATGGTTTTTAAGAAGCACCATCTTTCAAGCACACATTATATTTAATCTATTGTTTCACCTGCTCAAACTCACTGTCCAGATGCTTCTCAGGGGGAGATGGTGAATCTGATCTCTTATTATAAATGTGAATAAAAAGTCGCCATTAGACACTATTACAGACATGATATCAGTCATTAGCTTATAGATTAAATATGTCAACAGACATTTTGATACAGGCTTTAAAATAATTTGTCCAAATCTGCCGTCGTCCAATCAAGCTTTATTATAAAAGCTACTTGAGTTTGTAAACAACGACACACAAGCACATTAAAATAATTGTTTAACTGTGAACACACATGATACACATTCATTTAACTAAATCAAAACGAATACACATCAACTTTACCAAACTAAGAGTCTCGGCAATCTTTGTTCTGTATTTTATGTGTGTTTACACTTTGACCATGTGCTTTTGAGTTCAGCACAACATTTCATCTGTCTTACCCCATCAGTTGAGAGCTGATCTGGTTCGTTTATCTAAACTGGTAGAATCATGTTACTCTGCTGACCGAGACCATGACAAAATCATAGTTGAGAATCTTTGTTCTGTATTTTATGTGTTTACACTTTGACCATGTGCTTTTGAGTTCAGCACAACATTTCATCTGTCTTACCCCATCAGTTGAGAGCTGATCTGGTTCGTTTATCTAAACTGGTAGAATCATGTTACTCTGCTGACCGAGACCATGACAAAATCATAGTTTTTGCTGTAAAATAAATGAAGTTTAAATCTCAGAGCTCGTCTTCGACTAAAACTAGAAACGAGTGTAAATTTCCATCCGCTCCACTGGGCGGCGAAAGCTGCTTCACGGTCAGTTTGACAGCTTCGGATGATTCGGTTGAAACAACACGTGCAGACAGTTTTAAACAACACAGCTTCTGCAGATGACAGCTCAGTGACAATATGTGTAAAAGTGCGATAAAGTGCAGGAAATTGTAATTTTTGTGTGAGCTATTCCTTAAAGAGGTCTGCTCAGCTGTGTGCCAGTCTGAGGGTTATACTGACGTGATTTAGTTCGCAACAACACCAGGATCTGGAATATGAAAAAAATAAAAGGAAATGGGAGAGAACGAGACCCACACAGATAAATGAGGAGAGAATTCCACACATAGATCCAGGGTCAGGGCATGGTGGGAGACAGACGTCTGTGGGGGATGTGCTGCCCTTCAAATAAAGATAGAAAGAGTCAAAGGGTCCCCTAGATGAAAGAACAACAAGGTATCACTAAAGGCTGGAATTCTATACAGATTATAGGGATAACTAATCAGAGCATCCTGATACTCTGAGAGAAAGACTGACTGGGGGACAGAAAGAGATTTCCCAGAGGTAGAATGTGTAAAACACGCACCCCGTGAGATGAAGGGAAAGGACAGGAAAGTATTTCCATGCCAGGGTCTATGTGGCTTAAATCCAGAACATAAAAGATGCCGACAGACTGCTTGTGTGTGTGATTTGAAGCCCATTTTATACCTACCAGCAATGCTTTAAAGTGAACTTCCTAGCAATAGTTCAGAAGGCACTTGTGTATAAATCAGAATGGCAATGGAAAAGCTAATGATAGTACTGTACATAAATAGCTGCTTACCAAGTCATCCCTCCATTACCCTCCCTTCCTCTCTATAATGTCATCCCAAGGGGGACCAGGAAGCCACATCTGTCTACCTTTTCCATATTTTTAAAATACATTAATCATAAATGTAATTAACTATTATATCATAAACAATTGTTTTTCATAATTGTTTTCTATAGATGCATCTCACTAAAAATGTCCGGTTCACTAAGGCTGCATTTATTTGATCAAACATACAGTATAAACAGTAATATTTTATTACAATTTTAAATAGCAATATATTTTTATATATAATAAAATATTTTAAAATGCTATTTATTCCTGTGATGGCAAAGCTGAATTTTCAGCAGCCATTACTCCAACCCTGTGTCACATGATCCTTCAGGAATCATTCTAATATGCTGATTTGGTGCTCAGGAAAACATTTATTATATTACATTTTTATTATTTGATTACATAATTTATTACTGTATTGCTGTATTTTGAATACAGCTGAGCAGCTTAATATTTTTTTATTGTAATTACAGTAAGCCATTGTATGATTTTTATTGATTAAATCAAATCAATGGAAATAAACTAATTTTTTTGTGATTGACATTGTGCTACAAAAAGATGTTAACTGAGTTCAACTTATTGTAGCAGGAACATTCTGTAAATGACAGATCATTTTTTCTGAGCAGTGTAGACTGTAGTCTTTCTCTTTGATGTGAGCTTCTCTTTGACTATGTGCATTACTTCAAAACACCAGACTGGAAGTGGCCTCCTTTAGGCCCACGCCCACACTCCCCATTTCCTCCTATAGAAAAGCATGGATTGCCTGGCAACTGTTTCTGGGGAAGCACCCGCTGGCAGCTTCCTGTGCCACTCCCTCTCTGTGAATAAACACAACTTCTGGATCTGACTAATGGAAGTATGAAGACCCCCCCACACACACACACACACCCCTACAAAAAAAATAATTTCTGCTCCATCCTACACTTTCCTTCTTCCTGTTACCTTCTTTAGTTACTGTATGCACTTGAAGTCTTGAATGTATGCGAAACACTCCTGTCAGGTCACATTGATCCCTTAAATTCAGGGACTGGCTAATAATAACACAGACCAACTGCATCCTCCTTTTCAGACATCCCCAGGATGGGGGCTCCTTCAAAGGTGACCCAACCCAATGACGGAGCCACATTGTCATGAAGAGGGCTAGTGTGGATTTCCTGTCCTGGCTCCATCAGCTCTACAGTAGCATTCTGAGATAATCTACAGGCTCTGGGCTATCAGACCAGATGCAGATAGATGATCCTTCTGCAGGTCAAAGGTCATATCTAAACACCTACACACTGAGTGTTTCCTTGTAGAGGTTAAGAGACTGTTCCACTGTTCATGGTAAATGTTCCCAACCTAGATCTTGGTCTGGTCACTCATGTCACGATGCATCAGAATTTAAAAGTCACTTTTTGCAAACACCATTTGTGAAATAGCAAAATCTCATCAATAATCTTTTGTTTGTCACATAATGCCACTTAGATGTATATGTTCTCAAAGACATTGATGTTAATTTTTTTTTATTTATGTATTTATTTTTAGTCTAGACGCAAAGCTATGGAGGAACTGGAGTGTCATGAACAAAGGTTTTTTTTTTTTTCAAAATAAAAATAGAAACAGAAAATTAAAAAATTAAAATAGACATTTTAAACTGCTTATTTAATTCCTCTTGAAAAATATAGATAAATGTAACAATAAGAAAAATCATTAGTAATTCACTTTTCAAGTTGACAAACATATAGACATTATAAACAGCTTTTTTAATGTTAGGTAAATGTTACAATAAAATAACACAATGTTCATTTATTTTACATTTGTTGTTAAATTGAGTAATGTTTTTAAAAATAGTGTGTGTACACACACACACACACACACACACACACACACACATATATATATATATATAATGCTTGATTCATTTTTAAATGATATACAAATTCCTCCATACAAAGACACTGGGGCCTTTCTAAGGCACGTATCATTATTAATACTTTTCATATTAGGAATTTCAGGACCAGGCAGAAGATAAAGATTAAAAAAACCTATAGACTTACATTTGAAGAGGCTAATATAGGGACTAGAATGTCATGTCACTTGATGGTGGGCTGTTTTCACTTAGACCTGTTAGAAACCACATAGCAACAACAACCTAGCAATGACTTTTGAAGGCCAGCCTATTTTTTTCACAATATGTAAACATAGGCCTATAGTTTCAAAGCTTGTTACTGTTTAATAAAGCTATTTATTAATGATTCGACAATAAATATGCTACATACAGTGTTGGACGGCTGCGTGGAAGATCTGAAAGACATTTCTTAACACACTAAAATACTATAACTGCCTGTTTGAAAATTAGGAGGTTTTAAACACGTGTTTAAAACAAGTGTTTGGACTGAAAGAGGTAGAAATAAACAAAGGATTTGTGGAGAATGGTACTGTCAGCAACAGATGAAAAAAATAAACTAGATCATAATACTGGAGGCGTTACCTATATAAACACCAGTTGGTACCAGGCTGCTGATAAAGAGGTGCAGAGAGTGTCCCGTGTCCTGACAACTCCTAAATCACTTTCAAGGACACACACATACATTTATCTCACAGTAAAAGAGAGAGTTCAGGCAACATAGGCAAGATTATGAAAATGTTATTCTGATGGTTCAGAGACACCATGCAGAATGTCTGACATGTCAACCCTGTTTTTAATCTGCTGCATTCATATGTGTCATGTTGCCTGTACTCCTCTGTCGTTTTAAGCTTTGAGTTTTAATGTACACACACACACACACACACACACACACTGACCACCTGTGCCTCTGAGAGCATGTTCAGTCTCTCCATTTATCATTACCATATCTCACTGACAAACCAGGTATCATCCCTCCAGGAAAACTGTTAAAGACTTTCCCATGTGGGAGTACGACATGCTGGTGAAGTCTTGAAGAGAAAACCATGTAAATCATTTTTGGTAGGTTAATTTTGTGAAGTAATATTTTGTGAGTTTGTGAAGTGAAATAAAATAAAATATCACAAAATTATTTAGCAGAAAGCTGTCCTGATAGTTTTCTTTTACCAAAGTAAATGGGTACTGCACCTGTCATGTACCAAAAACAAATAAAATAAAATAAAAATAAATATTTTTTCCCAATTGTCTCTATGATGTTGTGAGCCTAAATATGAATTTAATTGAATTAAATTAATGATCTAGATTAAAATACCTAGATTTTTTTTGTGCTTGGATCACAACAAAATGTAAATAATAATAATAATACTATTATATTAGATTACATTAAATTAATACCTAAATCTATTACTGTACCTACACACATTATTATATCTATATACTATCATATGTTCATTCATTCATATGTTTTTTAATGTGTTTTTTATTTTTATTTTATTAGGTATATGTGCCTTTGGTTCTTTCATTTTAGAAGTTTTGTCATGTTTGGTTCAGCTTAAAAAATAATAACCCCAATTGAACTTTTTCTTTACAGGACAAAAAAAATGTCACCAACACCCTGTGAATTAATAAAGTATTTTAGTTAAATTGTCTTCATTGCAGGATGAATCATTTAGAAATATTCAAAAATTCAAGCTGCTTGCTTTTTGAATCACAAAACAACCTCAGATAACTGGAACATGGAATGTGAGCGCTGGACATCTACAGTACACACTACACACTTTCCACATATCTGAAGAATGCATGCCGTAAATCTCAAGATAAATTCAATAAAGAAGCTTTAGAAATGGTATTCATCATGAGGGAGGCTTGGCCCTGCCTTGTCAGTGCTTGGCACGGCGTCTCAACGCATCTAAAGAGCGAGAGTGAATGAGCGCCTGCATTCTTGGAATGCTCTTAGCATTGTGGCTCTTTAATGAGGCAGGGTGAGCGCGCGCTCTCCCTGTGACAAACCCTTGCACGACTGAGCTAACGATGGATGGGAGGCGTGAAGCCAGACGTGAGAGTGCCGGCCTCTAGCCTTGCGACCCCCGAGCTGTTTAACATGCGATCCATCACTCGCCGCACTGCGAAGAGTGTCAGAAGGGCACCCTCAAAAATCTGGCCCAACAAAGTTCTCTAGTTATACAAATGCTTTACATTACAAGATAGAGCTGGATATGTGTGTGTATGGAGTTTTAATATTATTTTCTTCTGAGAAGTCAACTTTTCCAGCCCAAAAGATCTGAAATTAAACTGAACCATAAACGCTGAATGGTAAAATCACTGTAAAATGGTCATAAACTAGATAAAATAAAACAGATTTAGTGCAGATTCATTTTTATTTATTTATTTATTTGTTTGTTTGTTTTCCAATTCCCCAATTGCCTATAGAAACTGCCAAGTAAGAAAGGAATTAATTAATTAATTAATCAATTAATTAATTAACATTAAATTAAACATAAAATAAAATAATGGAAAAATGGCCTGTAGAAACTGCCAAGTCAATCAGTCAGTCAATCAATCAATAAAAACATTCATAAAATACAATCAAATGGACACACTACAATTGTTTGTGGATTTCATGTATGCAGAATGATATATGAAAATAGCACAATTGCCTGTAAAAACTGGCGTCAAAATACATAATTAAATTAAAAATAAAATAAATAATTGAAAAATGTGTGGTAGAAACTGCAGAGTCAAAATAAATAAATACATTAAAAAAAAAAAAAAAATCCAAACATGCATAAAATAAAATAAAATAAAATGCACACACTAAATTTATTTGTGGAGTTCACATATACAGAAAGGTATATGAAACCTTACACATACAGGTTATTGCCAGAGCCATAAGGCTACTGAACTAAGAATAAAACGTGTAGACTTCAAGTCCAATACCAACATAAACACTACATTTATTTGCCCAGCTGCTGGCATTACGACACAATTGTGAGAATCAGGGAGCATTTACACTTGACAACACACACACAACATACACGGCCCGACTCAACTAAAGTGTAAGATAAAGAACAGAAGTTCTTGAAAGACAATTGAAACCAGTTTGTTTCTCCACATAACAATGGATTCAGTCTCCAAATGTTTCGTGTTTAGATCGTTAAGAGGGCAAACAGGCTATCACAGCAACTATTTCAGGACAGAGAGAGAGACGCCCAGGAAGTATGACCAACACCCATGTGTTTATCTCCCTTTGTGCAGCAGCCCAAAACATTTCCCCTCTACCATTCATAACAATCACAAATGACATGACAGGAGTTTTGTCACTGCTCTGATCTAACGTTTCCTATTGACTGGTTACAACAGAGGGCCTTCTCTGGGCCCAGACTGCGCTAATGCTATAATTAATGGGGCATAAGAAGATGCCCATGAGTGGAGGTCACAAAAGGTCACAGTTCATGAAACAAAAATTGAATGGAGGTATTGTCTTTTATGGCACTTAAAAGCAAACATGAATTTCCCAGAGTAAAACAGGAGCTTTTGAAGTCTGGTTGTCATGGTTATTGGCTTGGTGACTGGTGTGCGCTGGCAGTGTGAGATCTGGCCTTCACTATCCGCACAGCAAACTCCACGCCAGCTGCACTTACAGATAGCTTTCTCAGACTAATTAACCCATTAGTTTTCTGACAAATTGGCTAAACTTCATCAAATATGGGAACTGTTGACATCCATGGCAAATTTCTCTAACTAATCTACTGATTAATTAAGTTAAAAACAAAACAAAATGACATTACAAAGTCTGCAAGTGCAAGGCTATACAGTAAAATGATGCATATTGTGATTCTTTAGTTATTGTCCCAGCAAAATTAAATTAAATGAAATGTTTTAGTTCATTTATTACAGCATGTTACATACGAAACAACAATGTTTTGAACAACAAAAATATTTTATGGCATCAAATTATGTAATTAATAACAAATGATATATTATTAGAAATATATTATAAATATACAATCATTATTAATTAATTATTATTTGTATCATAATATTATAATACATTTAATAATAAATAATAATTCATTACATTTATATAGTGCTTTTCTAAGCACTCAAAGCGCTTTACATTGTCAGGGGGTATCTCCTCAACCACCATCAGTGTGCAGCATCCACCTGGATGATGCGACGGCAGCCATAGTGCGCCAGAACGCCCACCACACACCAGCTTATTGGTGGAGAGGAGACAGAGTGATGAAGCCAATCAGTAGATATGGGGATTGTTAGGAGGCCATGATGATCAGAGGCCAATGGGCAAATTTGGCCAGGATGCCGAGGTCACACCTCTACTCTTTTTAACCAGTCTTGGGCTACAGGGTGATATGGCTGCCGATTTAATTATATAATGTACTATTATTATTATTATTATTATTTCAGACATAACTAGAGCAGACAATATTACTCATGGGTCATGTGTCTAGTCCATAAACAAATATATTTAATTATATTATTAACAAATCATATTATTATTATTATTATTATTATTATTTCTTCAGACATAACTAGAGCAGCCAATATTACTCATGGGTCATGTGTCTAGTCCATATACACAAATATTGAATTATATTATTAACGAATCATATTGTTATTATTATTATTATTGCATCATAATTCTTATTAACGTAATTTTATAATTTATATTATTATTATTATTATTATTTTGGCCACATCCTTAAATACGGACTTGACATGCAATACAGTGACATGCATGATGTTAGACATAACTAGACAGTATATTATTCATGGGCTAGTCCTGTGTCTGCCCAGCCCTCTCTATTGGGTCCCCCCTGCCCTGCGTGAGCTGACACATCTCAGACCTGCTCTGAGATCCGCCGTACAAGCGTGGCAACGGCAGCACTGCAGACGACTCCGCGCATTCAATTCATCACAATCCGCGCAGCCAAGGAAACCCACCAAAACTTTGCCCCCCAAATCCCCGGACCCTCAGGGTGGGGTAGAGCCGCAGAGAAGCAGCAGCGCAAACAAAAACACTCCTCTTGGCGTAAAGGACAAAAAAAAAAAACCCCGCTGCAAAAACAGATAACGTTACAGACTCAAGACGATAAGCGGAACCGATCAGCCTCTCCACGTACATTTTCATGCAAAACTTTTTCTGAAGTCAGCTTGGAACGCGGAGCAGCGAGCATCAAACTGACGGACTGAAAATGGCAATCACAAGGACAGTCATCGTTGTATTAGGTGAGTTTACGTTCGCTTAAGGATGTGCTTAAATGTTAAACTTGAACATTTCTCATATTTATTATTAGCATTAATCGCATCGATATAACGTGATATATAGGCTAAGCTGAATTAGCCCATTCACGGTTGATCATTCAAACACCTCTTTTGAATATAAACTTCGTGGTTTTAGAACTTTTCAAATATTTAAATGTTTTAAATTCAATAAACGTTCTTACAGAATTCTCCATAACGTCGTAATGATTTAAACCGTTAAGTTACTTAGTCAGATTCCTATAGCAGCAATAGAGATGGGACTTTTAACATTTAGTTCACATTTATAAGTGGTAATTCTTGAGTAACTTTAAGTAATTAGTCAAAAATATTAATTTTCGTGTTAAGGAGAAACATTTGCTTGTTAATGTTTATAAGGGCTTACTGTTTTACCATATGAAAATAAAAATCAATTTATGTCAAACACTCGCCAGCTAACAAAGAACGTTTTCAGAACTTTAGCCAATGTTAATAGAACGTAAATAGAACGTTTGTTCACAAACCTTTAGCGCAAAAGCATTATTGACATTGTTTATGGAACGTTTTATTTCTGAAACGTTTTGTTGGAGGTTCATCTTTTTTTCCCCAGAACATTCAGAGAATATTCAAGCATTCCCATAATGTTTGCAAAATTATAAAATGCAATGTTCCCTTAACGTTCACACTATAAATAAAAACGAAGTTTATTATAACTAACATTTCCATAACTAAGAACGTTAGCAAAACGTTCTTAGAACATATTTTTGTTAGCTGGGTTGTCTTTGTCTCTAACATTTTTGCCCTGAGCCCTTGTTAATTTCTGACCCTTTCTGTCATTTAGATGAATTAACGAATGGGGGGAAAAAAACTGTTGTATTGGAATTCCTACAAAATTTTGATGAACATATTCTCATATAAATTAATATTTGAATGCACATCAGATACTAATCTGTTCAGCATTATGTCTATGACTTAAGATAGTTATCATAAAACAACTTACATTCTGCTGACAGTGATGGCTACTAATCAGTACCTGACCACATGTGTATAGATATAACAGTGGCAGAAAATCCTGGTAAGAGCTCTTAGTGCAGCATCTGTGCCGCTCAACATTTCTGTCAGCTGCTTTTTTGAAATTACAAACAGTGACACAATTACAGATGCAGTGTGCGTCTCAGACTCAAGAGGGATGTGAGGGAGGACTGTTATTCTTTAATTATCAGTGCGGTGCACCTGCCTGTCCAGACATCAGACTGACGGTCATTAGAAAAGTGCTCCTGTTTTGTTTACCCAACCTTGTAAAAAGCATCATAAGCACTTTTGACTCTACTCTGTCTCAGTCAGCCTTTTCTAAAAGGTCTGATTAATTGTTTGAAGTGAGGATGTTGTAATCTCAGCTTTTCTGAACTTCAAGGTTGATCAAAGTTAGGCCTGTTTCCACATTGTTTAACTCGAGTATTTATAAAAGGTTCCCTGTGTGTTGATAGACCTGAATTTTGAGGGCTTCCTTGTGTTGCATAAGGTTTCCTCCATCCTCTACTGTCAAGAAAGCCTCAACATTTAAATCAGCCAAAATAAACTGATTGCAACAAAGTATCCTTTGGCAGCGCTCCTGTCTCGATACAGCCTGACGGCCATCTTACACAAGGCTTGGGAAAGTGTGGAATAATGGGTAGGAAAGTGTTCTGTCAACATCCCTGTTCCCAGGGAAGGTGTGGCACTTATTTCCTCTCTCCTCTGCTCCGTTCCTGTTGCTCTCTCTGTCTTACTACATCTCTCAGCCAAATGATCCAACTTTTTCTGATAAAAGCGATTATTCAAGGAATGAAACATTGATTTATATGACGCAAGAGTAGATGAGACACCCAAGGGTTGTAGTGAATTACCATGCTTTTTAAAGACCCCATGGAAAGCTTTTATATGCATGATTTTCTGTCCTGTGTTGAGGACGTCTTCCTATTTGCACAGGATGTTTGGGTGGGGTATAGTGAAGGGCTTGTCCCTTTTGCTAATTTAGTTTGCATTACAGCTATAAACTAGAAGCCGGTGATCCAAAAAATAAATCCTAAATCACGGTATAATTTATACCACAATAATAACACTAAAAAAGAAATAGTGGAATAAAATTGAAATACATGTTATTTAATGACGTAAATAGCCTACTTTAAAATCAAATAAATTTTTTATTATTATTATTACATTTTTTTGGGATTCTGGAAACAAACCTCAGATTTAGTATACACTACTGTGCAAAAGTTTGGGATCAGTTATGTTTCTTAATGTTTTTGAAAGAAATCTCTTAAGGCTGCATTTGTTTGATCAAAACTGAAAAAATTTTGTTTAATGATATTACACAATTTAAAACAACTGTTTTGTATTTTAATATATTTGTAATGTAATTTATTCCTGTGATGCAAAGCTGAATTTTCAGCAGTCATTACTCCAGTCTTCAGTGCCACATGATCCTTCAGAAATCATTTAATATGCTGTTTTGGTGCTCAATTATCACTGTTTAAAATAGGCTTTGCCACTTAATATTTTTTGTGGAAACCAACATTTTTTCCAGCATACTTTGATGAATAGAAAAGTCAAAAGAACAGAATTTATTTGAAACTGAAATATTTTGTAACAATGTAAAAGTCTTTACTGCCACCTTTGATTAATTTATTTTATTTATCAAAATAAAACTATATTTTGACCTGACTAGCATAATGGCCTCAAACTATTAGAAACTATTAATGGACTAAAAGCCACAATTCTGATTTCATGTGGTCTTAATGTGGCACCAAGAAGTAATGTAATTCCCTGCTTAACGTGTGAGTGTCTAATATTTATAGGGAGACGTGTAAGGGAAAGAGAGGGAGAGACTGGCCTCCATATCTTGAGATTGCAAAGATGGCCCCTCTGTCATTCTCCCCCTCCTTTTCTGATCTGCTTATTATGTATAATGTCTGCAACTGGCACTACCGCGATCTTCAACTCCCTTCTCTAATCCAACCTCTAACCCGGCCTCCCCTCTCTACCCACAAATCCTTCATTTTATCACTCGGATACTTTGCACCATTAGCAGCTAGTCTTTCCTAGCCAAAACAAAAAAGAGAAAAGAAAAAAAAAAACACCTCACACATTCTCTAGGAAATCAACTCAAATCAGCTCACCATTACTGGGTGTTTGCAATTATTTAAAAATTCTTTATCCTTAAATGAAAAAAATGTGGCACTTCAGCTTTGATACTTCACACTCTGAGTATTCAGTCCTAAAAAGCTTGATACAGTTCTATTAGTACGCCACAATGACATCTTGATAGTGTGTATCATGAGGAATGTGTTTGAGTCAACCCTCTCAGACTCCTCCTTCCTTTCTGTCTGTCTTTCATTCATTGTGTGCATTTTTATATTCACAGTCCCTCTCCTCACCTCAGTAGAGGGGGTTAGTTGTGACTCAGCTCCATAAAGGAGCCCCCAATCCCCATCTTCCCCGCCCCCCCCTCCTGTTGGGCCGATGGGCCTGTTCAGTTACCCCTGAATAGGACACTATCATGGGGAGTGTGGGTAAACTAGGGGCCCAAAGAGGTCCTGCACGCAGCTGGAAAGGGGGGTGGTAGACTGAGGGTGTGCATGTCCTATTCAAAGAAATTAGTACAATACAATATAATACAACTTTATTAATCCCCAAGAGACAATTAAGCAACAATTTACAACTTTATTAATGCCCTAATAATAGCAATATAATAGCAATACAAACATAACTTTGTTTTCCATTTATTACATAACACTCCTGGCCACAAAATTGCCCCTTCAAATGAAATATTTTTACTTTTTAGACAAAGCTGGATAAACTTATTGGATTGATCATTGCCATTTTCACAAACTTTTCACTACCAGACAAAAGTATGAAATAATTATGTTTTTGAAAAAAGTCTCTTATGTTCACCAAGGCTGCATTTATTTGATCAAAAATACAGCAAAAACAGTATTATTGTGAAATATTATTATAATTTACAAAATAACAGTTTTCTGTTTATTAAAATTGTAACAATAAATTGTTAAATTCTAATAATATTTAAGTTATTTCAAATTGTAATTTAAAATTACAATTATTTTAATTGAATTGTAAAATAATTTAATGCTGTCATGGCAAAGCTGAATTTTCAGCAGCCAAAAAGTGTATCACAGTTTCCACAAAAACATTAAGCGGCAATAACTTTTCATCATCAATAATAATAAGAACTATTATTAATAATTCAGCTTTGCCATCATATGAATAAATAACATTTTAAAATATATTAAACAGTTATTTTAAACTCTAATAATCTTTCACAATATTACAGTTTGTTCTGATCAAATAAATTCAGCCTTGGTGAATATAATAGATTTCTTTTAAAAACATTTAAACATCTTAATTATTCCAAACAAGACTTCCAACCAACGTTCTGACAACAATCCTGAGAGACACACAGAATGAGTCCAAAAGAGAAAAATACAATATTTTAGGCTACAAATACAGGATCACCTACATTTGATCTGATCCCAATCTTTAAGATGAGTGAGTTGAGCTCCTGTTATCAGGGATTGCTGAAACGGTACCTCCAGAATCTTAGTGAGAGTGTGGGAGTCTGTATGACAGATAAAAGAGCATATTATATGCCTCTGTGAGGGGCTACCCATGACTATGATGTATCTATGTAGGTGAAATGTCTGCATTTTCTCCAAACCGTCTCTACATTGATAGTGTTAGGACCAGCAGTCTTGTCAGTGGGTAATAAACAGACCGCAACTGACAGCAGGGTCAACGAGGGTCAATCCTAAACAATGGAACTAATGGAAACCACAGGGTGATGATGAAGGACGATAAGAGTAAAAAAAAACAATCTTAAATTTTCCATTACTCAAATAAATGTGCATTTTAAACTCATTTTCAATGTGTTTCACTGTAATTAATTGGATTCTTAAAAACAAGGACCAAAGCAGTGCAGCGAAAAGGCTTAGTTTAACAGTTAAGTCTAGAGCTGTGATAGGCAGTCGTGCTGATTAGCAGTGGACATATCTTTGGAGACGCAAGGCTATGTGATAAGATGGTGATTACACAGAAGGCTAAATGATAGACAGCACTGACTCACCAACCAAAATAAACAGCCTCTCATCACTAACCCCTATCCTGACAGCAACAATGCCGTGTTTCTACAACAACCTCAACTGATTGTTCTGACATCCCAGTGGGGCAAGATTTACAAGATCTTCATACTGGGTGGCTAGTTCTGGTAAAAAGCACCAGGAACAGTTGAAGTTAATTGTGTAAATGTAGGATTTATTGCATAAAGTCTTGGACTGATTGATATAAACAGTATATATATTTAATATTGGGTTTGTCTTTGACAAGATACATTTGTAAAATAATAGTAAAGCAACTGTAACTGTGATAAATACTGGGTCAGTGGCTAGAAGTCTGTCGATTACCAAATATATAATTATGAACTTGAGAGCCACAAGTTAGGAAAAAGCTATTGTTTTAAGCCTCAAGAGACTATGTGGCAGATTTGGACACCATTGTTTTGGCATCTGTGGTTCCACCCAAAAGAGTAGGTGTGCTACTTCCTAAGTTATTGTATGGAGTGTCCTGTCCAGCTCACTAAAAACAGAGAGAAACTCCCACTACGATGTGACATCTAGACATAATAACAATAAGAGGTGCTTGAAGGAAAAAAAAATCGATAGCCATCTGAACTTGCTCAACATATGTGTTGTAAAAATGCAACAAGAAAATCTGTATAAATTAGCTATATAAACCCAAAGCCATTTTGAAGTATACAATAAATACTGCTGAGGAAAATTTGCTGTGCTACATGATATTAGAATACACATAAAGACTGACTCTGTAAAAATAAATGAGCTTAGCTCTTGCTTCTTGTTTACAGTGTTTATTACCGGATAAACAATCAGCAAAAATACTCCCTGAAAGTAACTCAATTTGGTTGTTACTTTTAAAGTGTTTTTGACTGAACACACAAGACACTGTTCCGTTTCAATGACTGTTGCAGTAACTCATCAGAAACGAAGCTACTTGTTAGCATGTATAAAAGCAGTTAACACGGCCTCTTTTTGATTTCAACATTTAAAAACAGTTTACACTGCTATTGTGTACCTATAATGCAGCATTATAGAAATTTCACAGAACCGATTAGAAATCTTGAGTTTGCAGATATATTTTTTCTTAACTAGCTGTTTTCTTTGTTTCCCATAGGTGCCCTCATGTATAGCATGGCATCCGCAGCAGTCAATCCTTCTGACCCAGCCACGCAAAATGATCCATCTGACCCAGCCACGCAATCCAGTCCTTCTGACCCTTCTGACCCAGCTGCGCAAAATGGCTTGTCTGACCCAGCCACACAGTCTGTTTCTTCTGACCCAGCCGCGCAATCCAGTCCTCTTGATCCAGCTGCGCAATCCGGTCCTTCTGACCCAGGTGTGCAATCCGGTCCTTCTGACCCTTCTGACCCAGCAGCGCAATCCGGTCCTTCTGACCCTTCTGACCCAGCTACGCAATCCAGTACTTCTGACCCAGCCGCACAATCTGGTCCTTCTGACCCTTCTGACCCAGTTGCGCAGTCCGGTCCTTCTGACCCTTCTGACCCACCCGTGCAATCCGGTCCTTCTGACCCACCTGTGCAATCCGGTCCTTCTGATCCATCTGACCCACCCGTGCAATCCGGTCCTTCTGACCCAGCTGTGCAATCCGGTCCTTCTGATCCGTCTGACCCACCCGTGCAATCCGGCTCTTCTGACCCTTCTGACCCACCCGTGCAATCCGGCCCTTCTGGCCCTTCTGACCCTTCTGACCCACCCGTGCAATCCGGCCCTTCTGACCCACCCGTGCAATCCGGTCCTTCTAATCCGTCTGACCCAGCCGTGCAATCCGGTCCTTCTAATCCGTCTGACCCA